CCCGCCCGCACACGCCCTCCTCTCCGGGACGGAAGAGCGACGACTTCCTGTTCCGTCACCAGAAGATCCCAACCTTGTGGTCCCTACCGCCGTGGCTAGACTGCTGCTAGGTTCACGGTCGGGAACCTCTCCATTCTCTGGGCAAGCTCGTGCTAACGTGAGTCTAAAGAGATGCGAATGACGACTGCAAGGTTGTATCTGGGGGCGGTGGCAAAAGGGCCTTGCAAGCTGTCCCTCAGAGAAGAGGGGGGAAAAGTGATAGTTGAGGAGACCAGAAACCTCGAAGGGATCGTGTTTATGGGTGGTAATCGTAAAATGCCATATTCAGTATCACTCTAAGCAGTATCGCATAATTCACACGCAGGGAAGATCACGGTTCTATATCACCTCTCCTTCCATTTTTTTTTTTTAATTTTATCTATTGATCTATTCCTCACTTACATGTATACCTCCCTCTCCATATGCGCGTGCGCGGAATCGGGATAGTGCGAGCTGCTGGCAGTACGAGCACGTATGGTGGAGGGGGGGGGTGTACGTAGTGCACATCCCATGTACCAGAAACGCCCGCTGCCAGTTGCCAGAGCGAGCAGCCGGAGCATTGCAACAATCAGAATTTACAGGTAGGCCGAGCGCTGTACCCGTATAGGCTCGTGTGTGCGGATAGAAGCCGTGGGAAGAGGAAGGCCAAGACAAGGGACCGGGGTTAGGAATCAGGGCCGCCGCGGTAGAATAAGTCCGCAAGTCCGATCAAACTCCGGTGCCGACTGGACATGACGGGTTCTTGCTCCAACCTCTTCCAACATGTGTACGCGGAGAGTCGCTCCTTTTTTCATCCCTCGGGAATGATAATATATTCAGAGGAGAAGGAGCATGTGTTCTGAAGTGGACTTTTCTTTTTCTTTTTCTCTTTCAAAGTCTCGTCTGCATCACAAGTCCTCGAGTGACGAGGAGAGATGCAAGGTCAAGTCAGGTCGACTGAAATAAATTAAAAAAAAAAAAAAGAGGAGAGAGGAAAAAAAGAAAAAAAAAGGAAAGAAGAAAAAAGAACCACGAGCCCCCGCTATCTCAATCGGGGGCTCTGATGCGCTCTGGTCCGATGTGGATACAATATCAACAGAAGGGAGTCCGAGCTGTCCGCACTCCCGTAGGGCTAGAGAGCGAACGGAACAGCAGAGAATTATCCCCAGTGCGTTAGCGGGAGTATCAGCTACTTCCCCAAGGAGTAAAAGACCTACGTCTCGCTCTTCTCACCTCGCACTCCCCCCCCTCGCTTCCTATGCACACTGTCATCTCGGTCTTTCCCTGACGTCGTAGATTTTGATTCATAATCCGTAGGGGGGGGGGGGGGGGGGGACCACTATTCTGGCTGATAGGGCTAATATGCTGCCGGCATTTGAGGGGTTCCACCGCCTTGTAACTTGTCAAACTGCTCCGTAGTAGCAAGATGGTCTACGGGAGTGGAAATCGCCGCTTGGGAACTCCACTGACTCCTAATAAGACTATCGATGATATCAATGATAGCAATGACTTGATGCTTGATATCGGGAAGTTGTCTAAGAAATTCAATGAGAAAGAAAACAAGAAAAGAAAAGAAGAAACGAAAAAAAAAAGGTCAGGGACGATGAGAGACTTCGACAACGACAGCAACAGCCCCCTCCCCTCCTTCCCCCTCCCCGCCCCGCTGACTAAATTAAACTAAGCTTTTTTTTTCGGTTTTCAATTTTTTTTTTCAATTTTTTTTTTTCAAAAGGCTATGCACAGCTCAGTACGACTGATACAGAACTATGGAAGGAATCACTTTCCACTCAGTCATGCTCAGTCATGTGTTGACTCTCAGTCATGCGTCTTGACTGTCTCATTTTAGGGTTGCCAATTCATCTCGCATCGCGATGGCCCCCAAATCACCGAATGCCCGAATACGCGTACCCGTGCTTTGCCAACCACACTAAACCGGGGAAAAAAAAAAGGAGAAGAAAAAAGACAGAGACGTCCGAGAAAGAATTTTTTTTTCTAGGAGGGGGGGGGGGGGGGGGGGGGGGTTGGTTCTCTTGTCGTCAAATGTTGATACGGAGTTTTCCGAGATCAAGGAGGAAGGAGGAGAGGAGGTGGATGTGGAAGAGAAGGAGAGAGACAGAATACCGATTTGGGAACAGGAGACAATTCGAAGAAAGGAAAAGAAAGAAAAACATCAAATAGTGAATATTAAAATAATCCCTTTTTTTTTTTTTTGCAAGGAAAAAAAAAAGGGGGCGGATATCGGTCTTCAGGTTTCTGGGGAATGCTTGTATTTGATGACATAGTTGATGTTGCCTCAGCTCAACTGTATAATATGTGTGTGTGTGTGTGTGTGTGTGTGTGTGTGTGTGTGCATTAGATGTACAAGTAATATGTATATATATGTGTATATATGTGTATAAATGTGTATATATATATATATATATATATATATATGTATATATGTGCATATATATATATGTATATATGTGCATATATATATGATATAGCATATACATATCCGCTTTTCGCAGCGCTCTGAAGCACTCTGAAGTGGATTTCCCTCTCCATCAAAAAGAAGAGAGAAGATGAGAGAAGAGGAGAGAAGAGTGAGAGCTTCGTCTTCATTTTCTCATCTCGTGCCCAGCCGTGAGAGAAGAGCCGCACGTTACGGTACGAGCAGTACACTACCCAGGCAATATCCCTGAACCTGAACTCGTGGCTTCCGTCGCGAAAAGCCTGCCTCCTGTGGAACTCTTTCTCGGTCCACACGTCCTCGTTGGCTGGTTTAGATTGGGGAAAGCCATCTGCACGCATATGTATGCATGGGGGTAGCAATACTGCAGCCTACTGATGTACAAGCAATACCTCTTTGCAGCCATTAAGCTTTTAATAAGGAGGGGAGGGGGAGAAGAAGGGAAGGGGAGGGGGGGCGAGGGAGAGAGAGGGGAGGGTTTGGTGTGGTTGGTGGTGGTGACCTTGGTGACCTCGTGGCCAGGTCCAGGGCATCGAGACGGTATCAATATGGTATCACGAGTCGACCGTGACCCCCAACAACTGACAGGATCCCTTGTCCAATCTCTTCATCTTCACTTATAGAGGTAGGTACACACACACACACACACCCCAAGGTTACTACTATATACTATATATGTAGAGTCCAGGGGGGGGGGGGGGAGGGGGCAGAGCGGAGCCCGCGGAGTAGCGAGCGCCGACTTCTTTTTTTGTCGTGTGAGAGCGTCCCGTACCCCTGGTGAGACGGTAAGAGGGGGATCACATGATGGGCATATATTGCAATATACAGGGTCTTCCCATCTTTACGAGAGGTACATATAGGCGCCATGCAGCAGCTGCAGTATCTATATATCAATACATGGTATTGTTATCTACTTCTACTATAGTACATACAAAGCATTGCATCTCTGACACTCGAGAAAAAAAGGGAAAAGAATGAAAAGAATGAAATGAAAAAAAAAAAAGACGCCTTTTCGGGTTTCAACAGTAACCGATTCGTCGTCCATGGTATTATCCCCCCTCCCCTCCATGTACACGCCCCCCCCCCCCCCCCCCCCCCCCCCTCTCGCTCCTACGCTTACTGGGTTTCTTATGGCGGGGGGGGG